AAAAACATATTAAATTCATTACGGTAAAAAATAGCAAGCATTATACTATATTGGTATATTTTTGGAATCTTTAATGGGTAATCGTACAGTCTGAGTTCAATTCTGTCTGTAAGAATACATTCCCTAAATTTGTAGGAATTGAGACAATAAGCAACACCAATTGCACATGGCTGCACCTGTCCAAAATTAACCATGTGCTTCGGTTTCGTGAAAATCTAAACAAATGCATCTATTTTTAAAACGTTAAAAGCATTGAGGAAAAGGGATTGTTCGCTTTCATAGTTAAATTGAAGAAATTTAATTGTTGAAAGATGCTATACGAGTTTTGATAAAACAATATAAAACTTGATCAGGTTTTTCCTATTTATATGATATATATTACTATTCATGATAAACATTGTTACGAAAATACAGATGAATTATAAATCAATCTCACATGTCTATTAATATTATACAATTTTGATGCTTATTTTTCATAAAACACTTAATTAGTTTCAGAATAGTCTAATCTGATTTGCATTAGTTTTTATATGTGCGCAGTATATATGTCAATGAGGCAGCAACCCCACAAAAATAAAAATTCCAAGAACTGCAGACAAAAGACAAGGTTATTTTCATTGAAAATTTGATAACTCTGATCAAACGCCGATAAATATATATTCCACCACTGCATCAAGTGCGTTACGATATTTCTCCACTCGAGACAGTTAGATTTTGATATTTAAAGCGCGAGGCTTGCCGAGCCTTTTAAATAATTAAGATCTAACTGTTGAGAGTGAAGAAATATCGTAATACACGAGTTATAGTGGTGGAATCTGTTTCTCTTATGATTTTAGACGATATCTTAACAAAGTTTATCCGTCCATTTCAAAGATTTGCAGAAAGTTGTGTTCTTTATATGTGACGTCATCAGGCATGGTCGCCTTTTTTCATGACTTCACAATATGAAATTCAGAAGAGACCAAAAAAATTTGAGGTCATAATTAAATTTTGACCAATCATTTGCCGCGAACAAAGTTTTCTCTTATGATGAGAAATATTTTCTCACGCAAGTCGAGAAATGTGAAAAAAGCATGAAAATTAGAGAAACCGATGCAACAAAGGTATTTTTTACATGAAAATTTAAGCCAAATATATATTTTTATATCTACCATGAACAGCAAATTCTTTAAAGGACAAAAACACTAAAGTGCTTCTAAAGACACCACTTACGAGGTTCTTGATCTGGGACAGGACTATTAAAGGGGCATTAGCTAGGATTTAGACAGTATAAGTCGAATAAATAAAGTATTTTTGTTTTGTTTCAAACATTTACAGTAATAAAATATTGAATAATAATTCGCTACTAGAAGTCACTATGGTTCAATTTTGTCAACATATGTCCAAATACGTCGTTGTTACATTATTATCTTACAAGACAATAATTCGACGACCTTTGCATCCATATGCATGTGACCTATGATTGACCTCAGTTGGTGTGCTCGGCATTTTGAGCTATTGAAAAGACTGTCCGTTGAAAAAACTGTTTTAATGATTCCAGTATTGGCTTTAAAAATGAGAAAAATGTGGTATAATTGCCAATGAGACAACTCTCCATCAGAGACCAAATGACATAGAAGTAAACAGCTATAGGCCACCGTACGGTCTTCAACAATGAGCAAAACCCATACCGCAGTATTAAATATTTCGTTGAATTGATTCATCCGTAAAAAGCATTCTTATATAGGTTACGGATTAGGCGATAATTTATATATTATTGATAATCTATAATATAATAATGAAATAATATCCAACAAAATGAGGAATATCGTCATTTTACTATATAGTAGAGTTGTTTTTAAATTTATCGGTTTACTTTTCTCTACGTATTTACATCGGGGTCACATGCACATAGGTTATCTTCGTGGTTATATAATTAATTTAAATGGCATTCAGTCCTACAAATGTTGATAAATGTACTTTATAACGATTCCAGGCATCGTTTATTATTTCCTACAGAACTTTTGTAATATTCGGATATTCGTTCGGTATGTTATAAATCAAATTTCTGAGATTGAATCTATTCGACGGGCATAAATTTGGCAGCTAATGACCCTTTAATATGTATATGCATGAGATCTTGACCTCAATATTGAAGATTACGTTTAAAACAACCTGTATATTCATTTGAGATGGTTTTGATGTACGAGTCCTCTTATTTGCGTGTCTATGAGTTGACGTTCTGTCAATATAAATTGAAATCTCCTCCGATTAAACAAAATCTGATTTTTGGGGTATTTAAAAACGTTATAAATGAGGATCTAAGATGAAAGTTAATTTCATTTTATAGACAAATACGCACTATTATTTATGGTACTATATGTGATAAAAATATGTGCTTTTGTGAAATTTCAGAGTGCTTTCCTTTTTATATTAACGTGTTTCTTTTATTTATTTTTATCTCATAGTTAATTCAATTAATTTTCATTGTCATCAGGTCTACAATAATAATAAATCTGCAAAATTCTCTTATATTCCTCCCATAGATTTTTTGTAAGCTATTGGACTTTTTAACTTGATGAAACTACGTTTAAACAAATGCTCACTAAACGCCTTAAGAAATATTTGTTTTCTTTATCTTTACCCGGATTGCTCTCAAAAATGTGACTGAAAAGGTAATGCATCTTGAAATATGCATATTAAGCCAAGGCATATGATATTGTCCTTTACATAAAACAGATGGTGAGTAAAAACATCACATGTAATATATAAACTGCATTTACAACCGAGACGATACATAACAAAATAAAAGTCAGTAAAATTGGTTGTTAAGATACTAGGAATAGACACTAAACTTAGGTTGCGTGGTAAAACATTAAGCAGACTTTTTTCAAAAGTCATTTGTGCTTTGTCTCCATAATTGCAGCCAAAAAGCGGATTACTAACGTTTTTCCAAATGGGTTATTTGAGAATCACTTTATAGTTTAACGCGTCCCTTTTACAGTAACTTTTTGATAAAAAAATGTGACCTTTAAATTTTACAATGATCGCCATTGAATGTATGAATATAAATTTTTTTCGAATTTTATCATTAACAGTTAAAAAAAGGTTCTCTTAAGTTGACTTGCAAATAATTTCGCTCAAACTAGTACAATTAGGCTTTTAATAAGCTTTCGCTCTAAGTAAAAATCCTCATTGTGACTTGTTGATGAAGAACAGCAATAAAAGCGATGGTCCTGACCTGTAAAGTGTGTATAGGGATTTTTTTCTCAATTAATACACCATTCATTTTTCATTGCTCAAAACAAGGATTTGTTTTGTAAGACCTTCTTACTATACAAATCCTTGCTCCAATAAAAAGACAAGATATTCTTAATCGGACAATAGTTTTAACCTCGCCCAAAGAACAAAATATATAACATCGATCATACTGCTGAGGGTAAGACATCAGTTTACCATCGGTAAATGACAGAATGATGTTAATTGTGAAAGAGGGGACTAGTTCACAGTCGTATTTATTTAGAACTCATAAGCTTATTTTTATTTCGCAAGACTATGTTGATGGATAGAAAAATAAATATTTGCATTATTGGAAAACATAACAAGAACATAATAGCTCATAAATCATGGAGACTAAAATATCATGAAAAATAGCGAACTAAATGTGTATTCAGTGTCGAATTTGGAAGCTTATATCGTATAAATCTGTTCATTTTATGAGAATCTTCAATTAATTTGAATAATGTACTGATCCTATCTTAACGTATGAAATTCTAAACCAACATAAAAATAAAGTTAAAATACCAATTAAAAATAAATAAGAAACTCCCTGTGATACTGCAGTCCCTTTACAAAACACTAAATAAGAAAAATATACAAATATGCAATTTGACAGCCTTAGAATTTAAAAGTGAAAGTAATCTGTTTTAATTTACGGCTGTTTAATCGCATTGGTTGATCAGCACAAAGAAAAACAAGAATGAACATTCAAAAGAAATAAAATTTAAAACGCATTTTCAAAGTAATTTTAAAATATATCTTAATAACAAATAAAGATGCCATATGTCAATGAAAAAAAATTAAACAGTTTTATTCCGATATAAAATTCAATTAAGTTAATGTCGTTTTCAAATCTTTAGCGTTCAATATATCTTGGGGCTTAAATCTACACTTAATTTGGTTGTTTAATAAGTAGGCTGGTGTCTTTTTCACAGTTTTTCATAAAAATAAACCAATAAAATTGATAAAATGTACAAACATTGGAATTTCGAAAATTTGTTTAATCTTAAATGTTTATTCTTACGTTACTAATCTACCCATATATACACGATAGAGTATGAAATGGGAAAACACTTGGTCCGATTACCAATTCAACTTTTTGACATTTTGAACTCAACTTTATATTCATATAAAATGATTGAAATTCAACCCTTGATACGATTTGAAAATATTCAATAACGCCGTTTAGGCAGTGCAAATAGAACTGGTTAATTTTTAATGGACGATTTAATCCTATTTAGAAGAAAAACGCAGGGGAGATGGTGGTATTTCTTATCTAACAAACTTTTAATCTCAATAAATTTATTTATTTTGGCTTAAGCAGTAGACTGTATACAATTCATATGTTTGTGTATTCATGTCAGTTTTCTTTATGTGAAGTGACTTAATAGAATACCAAATACTTATTTAAAATCATTTCACACTAAATTTGAAATTAAATACTATCGAGTACAGTAAACATAGCTGTTTTATTATCAATTGTGAAAATTTATTTTTCAATTTGTTGTAGTTTTATTGTCGTCACATTCCTGTTTTCAAACGTCATGACACTTTCATAGCCCAAATTATTTTTTTAGTAATATATGTCATTATTTTTACAAACATTTTTGCATACTTTAATATAAAATTTAAAACACGTCTTCAAATATTTACCTTATTTATACAGTTATTTAATAAAAATGCACAGACATACCATATTATTAATTTTTAAAAAGGTGTCAAATTTTATTACATCTACTTACATTCAATAGCGTAGTTAAAGTCAACACATTAGTCCAATACATGACAAGCTCCCATGGATTACATTTCTCTGAACTGAAAAAAAATCGCTAAATTCCTGGCGTTCACATTATCCAAGCACTTTTCACGACTGTCAGTCTCAGAGTCTATGAACAATCTGTTTAAGCGACTGCTTTTCCAGTTGAGTTGGTCCTAAGGCTCATTGGAGCGGGTCCATTGTTATTTTTATGAGTATGCGGAGAAACCCAATGGTGAAGATAATAGGATATCATCCATCTAAAGACATAAAGAAAATAGTGTTAGTTTGACGTTGAAAAGGTATAAATGACTCTTCGCACCTTTGGTTAATTATTTTGTTACGTGATTTAACGCGAAAGAAGATATCGATGTAAATATTCAGCCTTACTTTTCACTCATCAATTAATATCCTCATTAAAGTTTGACGGTTAGACGTGATTAGCGGAGAGATGAATTCACTAACTGCCCTTTTAAGATATCATTAAATTTTTAACCTCGTTACAGATGCACCTCAAACTTGGAATGTTGACTAACAGCAGGAAAGCCTTTGAGAGCGATTAGTGTTGTTGTTATCAGTCCCCTAGTTGGGTTCGATGGCCAGAGGTTAAGTTTGAACAATTGACTTTATAATCCATCACAATTTTTCAAAACTTTCAGCCAGTAAGTGATATTTCAACAAGTTTTGAAATCAACACTCATGTTTATAGAGACAACCTTGTAACAGGATCTGTTGGCCATTAAAAAGCATTCAATAAAATTGTTTGTCATTCTATTAAGAAAAGTCAAATCATCAAAATATGAAACCTCAAAATCAAATTTAAAATCGCTTAAAATAATATCCGATATGTCAATATTTAATAGTCTCAAGAGAGAAAAAATAAGCTCTGTAGTTTAAAAAATGATCTAAAATCGACATATGATCATTTTGATAAATCAACCATATATATTTCTCGTATCACCACTCAGAAACAAATAATATTGTCTTAATTGAAACATGATACCTCTAGTTACACCCATTTCAAATATTTACTGTGAAAAAATAAAGGCCACCAAAGTCAAAGAATGGTTTTTGTTATGTGTTAAATGTTATACTGAAATGTAACATCTTGATTGTCTTCGGGAACGATAGGAATCCAAACGAAATATTCTTACCTATCTGCTTAGCCACCTTAAAAAATGATAGCCTTATCAAGTCACGTGTCAATTATTGCACATCCAGATAAAATCCTTCAAAATTTTACCTCACAGAGAGCTTAATTCTGACCCAAGCATATTTAACTTTAAAAAACTATTGTATTTAAAGCGATAATATGTTCTAATATGGACCATAGATCTTTTAGCAGACTTGCTTATTTGAGTCCAGGCTCATCGCCGCGCATTAGGATTCAAGCGAATAAAAAGACGCCCAGGTGCTTACAAAAAATGAAAATTGAAATGAGAATTTTTTTTTTTCAGTTCGTATAAAGCAAATTTAATCTACAAATAAAGCAAAAAAACTATCATACTATAGAAGCTGTTAAATAGTCTTTATGAAAACATACAAATACCGCAAATTGCCATCGATTAATGTTTACATTACTACAAGCCGAGGAAACTTGTGTCAAGACTAAGGTTCGTGCAATATAAGGTGAGTTCAAATATTAGAATTTCTATTTTACAAAAATGATTTATTTTGTTTTCAGGAGGACTAGACAATTATAGTTTCTGATCTAATAAATTTATCCAAATCTCAAGATGGTTGCCATATTTACAGTGCTAATCTTTCGAAAGACCAAAATACATTAGCATCATAAAGTACTTCTAGTATATCAATACCACATATGGCGAATGCTCTTTTGAATAATGATATATTTAAATTTCATGACTCTAGTGATCAATCGAGAGCAAGTTTAAATGCAAAATCATGTCTCTGCCATTGGTATTTTTTTTCTGTCAGAAAGTTTGACATTGTGATTCTCATATGATCACTGAAAGATGAAAAAAGTAAATTATCTTGCAAAGATAACAAAATAGATTACTTTAAACCTGGTACAAGCCTTCGGTTACAGTTAGTTGTATATATCTTTGATGTTGTTTCAATTAAAACCAAAGGTATTTTACATCTGCAAATATCCTTTGACAAAACAGTAGATTCAAAGCCACATTTGATTCAGCACTAACAAGTCCTACATAAGACATAAGACATAATACTCAGACGATTAGATCTTGGTATGGGTCTTAAAAGAAGGGAACATTGAACTTGGGTGGAGTAAATAAGTTACAATCATGCTGCCTCACAGAGTTAATGAAAACGGCGTTTTATCAATATAGAAGATGATAGTATCAAAAGAGCGAGAGATCAGTACCAATCGTAAGATTAATGAAGAAAATTAAAGCAAGCAGTCTATTCTTTTGATATCAAAATAAAAGTGCCGCTCAAAGCTAAGACTAAAGGATACTATTTGTTTTACAGTTATTTGTTTTACAGTTATTTGTTTTACATTTATTTGTTTTACATTTATTTGTTTTACATTTATTTGTTTTACATTTATTGACTGTCAGATTAAGCAAGCTTATGACACTTAATTGGGTGGTATACAGACCAATAGGTAACAAATTACAACGGAATGGTAACTGTGTGTACGCATTTTATCAGCCTGACATGTCCCTGTAATGTTTTTTTTTTTTTTTTGCTTTTCCGGGAATCACGAGCATACTGAATTAAAAATAAACGTTCTTAACATATGAAAATTTTACGTTTAAAGATTTAAACTAAAGAGTTTGTTATACTTTTAAATCAAATTAACTGTATCACGCATGCTTAAAAGATATTATTTTTATATCAGCTATAACAAATTGTCGTTTACATCTTTGGAGGTAAACGAGCGTTTGAAGGTTTTGCACCTTTGCGGATAAAATAACTGTTATTCACAGAATATAAAATATCTTAGGTTATATATAATCATCCCATAACTTGAATGGGCACTGCATTTGGCGCGATAATTTACAGCTCGGTTGCCGATGAAAAAAAGCTGCAAAACGTGAACGAAAAAAGGGATATTTGTCGACAGATTTTATTGAATTTATTATAACAATGATAAAGTTTACTTTATACTAAAAAAGGTCAGAATAGTGTTAAGATTTCGACATTGAAATAATAAATAGTACTTTTAGTATAAGATCAGCTTAAAGAACGTGAGAAATGTTTATCCTTTATATCCTTTTTAGGTTTTATTTAGTTTATTAAATTCATACCGATTATAGTGTTTGCAGGTGTCTTATTTTAAATCAATTACAATTTGTTAGGGTATTCATACAAAATCACTGCGGACAGGAAGGGCAGAAAGATTTATTCCTTTTGAACGTAAGTTAAGAGGAAAAGTATGCTGCACAGCTTTAAAATCAGCCACATACTATCTGACTTTCACCCCCATAAGTAAAGACCTGTCTTAAACAATCCAATTTAGACCAATACCAATCTACATTAGAACATTTAAATTAAAAAGCAAATGGAACATGATGTTATGTTTTATTTTGTTGCTCAGTTACATTTCCTTTGATTCAAACTGAAGTCTACTTTACTTTGGTTTTCTTTCTGTTTGATTCTCATTCCTTTGAAGTGTAACGTATTATAACATATAACTGTATTACTTTCCGGTCCAAAAAAAAAGATCTTTTAAAATGGCGTCAATTTGACTATCATGATAGTATAAATTAATACAAAAAAAGTTATGTATATCGGTTCGAGCGCACGTAAAACTGGTTTAACCCACCTTATGTTGTGCTTCAAAAAAAATCATCTTTAAAAATCATAAGATCGTTTTCCATTCGGTACGCTCGAGGAGCTCATGAATCAAATCATGGAACCGCGCCTGACTATCATATTCTCGATCTGAATATGCATGAAATATTTTTCCGTGGGCTGAAACCCCAAAACACTTAATGCAGCATGTGAATTTATCTTATGACCTTTTACAGTTCCCTCCCATTGCACTTTTTTTTCAAATTCGCGCTCATTGTTAGTGCAGCTGTATGACGAATTAAGACAGCTTCTACTTAAATATGCAACAAAATTATATCACAAACAATCCTCTTTAACAGTTAAACATCCTGTTCTAATTTCCGTCAGAACCAATAATTACCAGGAAATGCATCAATTTTAAATTACTGCAATGTTTTAATTACTAAATGATCAAACAAGTTCAAAACGTCAATGTCTTTCAAGTAGAAACGGTAGTGTAATCAAAATTATGATATACCTTAGGAAATGATTTGTTTGAGAAAACGCATGTATTCATGTATAGATCATTTTCTTTTATTTAGTTGATGGAAATTGATTTGAATAGAAATGCGTGTATACTATCAATGAAGAAACGCTATTATTTTCCCTTTTTTTTTCAAAAGCTAATCTTTTTCAAAATCTTCAGATATCTTTCCTCAGTTATGTTACTGTATATACATTGTACCGCCATAATTTTAACTATTAGAAAATTCACCCAAAGTTTACATCGTCATAAAAATAAAACACCATTTTTTTAAATTCAAATATTAAGTTGACCGTAGGAGGATAGTTTAATATTTTAAGGCTTCTTTTGGGCATATACCTCTTTATGTATTAAGTATGTTATACATCCCTGACTTTCAAAGTTTTAAGAAAGAGAATAGGCAACTCCAGAAAAGCGCTTCGGACGCAACAAATTTATGTGCTGTTTTTTTTTACTTATGTAAATTAGCTTCGTGATTGATTAGTGTGGGAAATAGGATCAAATTTGATATATATTTGGGCATAAAAATTTACATATTAATGCATAAATTGTCCATAAATCAACCGAAGGAATCTGAACTCTAACGGTGGGGATCTCTGGTTTGGAGTTATGGACTAGTTCATATATCATATCCGAGTTGATCATATGGTGTCCTCTACGTGCTTTCAGAAAGGTACCGTCAGACTACAAGACCAAATTTCACAAAAAACAAATACTTATATAGTATCAGTTAACAGTATTACAATTTAAGAGACAATTTTTTACACTATTAATGTTATCTTATATGTATGGGAACGGTAAGAAATTATGAGATTGAACTCGAGAATGACACTAGAGCAGTATATAATAATGCACCACATGCATAATGCATAATGCCGGAAGTGCACTAAGGGTTCTATTGTAACGCATATCTAATAAAAAGTATTAGGTTAAAGGAGATATAAAATGTAGTATGAAAAATGGATAAATTAACAATTTAATTCAACTTAATTTAATGATGTAGCGTCATTGTCAAAGTGATGGATGGTATGTTCTGACAAATGTAACTGTTATGTTTAATGGTTCAGTCTCAAGTAGCTAAGGATAATGGATATCATTCTAACATTTAATGATGAACCCCTTTAACAAATATTTCGAGTACTAAAGTGTTTTCACATAAATCTACAGGCGGTCACCAAAATAGGGTCATTATGACAATGGAAGAATACAAGAATGACCATTCATTCTAAAGCGAGTAAATGACCACTTATTTTAGCCTGTTTAACAAAGACCATTTTAATGGAATTTTCTTCAGATTTTTAAAAATAATTTTATTTTCTATTTTCCATTTTCTCTTTGTACTTCTTAGGAAATATTTTAATTTCAATTTCTTTTTCTCATGATTAAAATAATAAACAAGATACAGATTTAATATTTTATTATATTTTCACGCTTTTATTTGAATTTTATAGTTTAACTAGAGAAAATTTATGCATTTCAATATTGAAATTTTTAATTAAAATGTTTTTATTTTCGTTTTTAATTATATTCGTCCAAGTGTTTAGCTATAAAATTACAATTAAAATAAAAAAAAGTACTCACATAACTTATTAAAGAATTTATGATTTAATCCACAGTAAATTATTACCTGAGCTACAGGTAACAGATACCTCCAAGAACTATGTATATCTTATAGTGAAGAAGTCGTTACTGATGGTATGATAGTATACGATAAGAGAGGGTGTACACCGGCTACCTTTAGATTAACGTCCGCAAAAAATAATGTTTAATTATCTTCTGGTGCTTAACGATTTTGGCATAGCTACAAATTTTTCAGATGGTTATGATAATTTCTTAAATAATTAATCTTTAGATGTTTGTAGATAAAAATTGCTTTTGTTACGCATGCAATGTTTATTGTAATCAACAGATAATAAATAAACTCAGCATCTAAAACGATCATATCTGATAAAAGGCCAAATATATAAGCCTTTGTCAAATCTACTGTAATTGTATGGCATCCTCAAAATTCCGTGAAGCACTTAATTGTCTCTGGAAAAAAGTAATATTTACTTTTGATATCACAGTATAACCAACACAACTTAATCGTTCTGAAAGATTAATTGATTGATTGATTGATTGATTCGTATTTGCATATTCAGGGCTCTACGTATATACGTAAATCCTAAACTATACGGTTGACCGAAATAATATTTAAGAAGCTTATACTGCCACTGAAAATGAGGACTTTTCGGACAAAGATGTGCATACTTCAAAAGTGTGGAGATTAAAAAACACATATTTAGTATTTAGATTATATTAGAGTAGTAGTTGTTCAAATTCTCCTTTGCAAACTGATATGTTTTTAATATATATTACTACTTTTTATTCGTTACTATTTTCTCTGATATTAATCGTAGAAGAATTGTTGATATACGGACGATATCAGGTCTGGACGAAAGGTGGCCAAGTTACAAATAAATGGCCACCTTGACTTCTCTTGTTCTGGCTATGGTGTGGATTGCGTAAAATCTGATGGACATGTAGGATGTCTTTATAAATGTACAGAATTTGAATGGGGTTTTAAATCTGGTTTTTCGTGTTGAGTGCACGTTGAAGAAACACTCAATATTTTTTCTGTATCACTTTTCCAAAGACCAAATTTCCTGTTTTCAACCAGAATAATTAACCGCATTGCTTTGCAATGTTTTTTTTTGTTTTAGTTCTGAATATTCAGAAATATTTGATTTTTGATTGCTATTTTAACTTCCAGTGTGAAATACTTGCTACTGGACAATGAGCAATAACATTCGGGATGTATCCTGACTACTAGTATTAGCAATTATTTTTTACTAGGATGGAAAAGACATGTTATTGTGGAAAGTTGATCTTATATCAAAAATAAATCATAATCATAATAAAGATATTTAAATAACATAAATAATAATTATATTTCCAAACAAACATATGTGTAAAAATGTTATTACTATTGTAAAATTTGCAATCAAATATACTTTTCTTTTGAACAATTTTAATTAAGTGAATGTATAACAACATTCACGAAATGGTATTAGGATTGGTGTTTATAAGCGGACAGATACACCTTGCTAATTTGATCCAAAAAGAAGTCAAAGGAGTCGGAAAATGTGTATAAAGTTACAATTAAAATTATTTCATTCTCATCGATAATGTTACATAACTTCTGTGCTTTGACTTACTATATAAATACATAACTAATTAAAGCTTTATTTGATTGGAACTGAGAATTTCCGAAAACTAGCAGATGTATGATGGACATAGTAAAAATGAAATAAGCATTGTAGTACTTTTGCACTATTCTTCGACAATCAAATAATATAGCTTTGTATTTAATTCCTAACTCTTTAAAAATTGACATTTTGACCTTTGTTTATTTTCGACTTTTTCTTAGAAAAATTCCATGCACTTACGAACACACGAAAACTCGAACTAGCTCTAAAAAGTTCGGAAAATTCGTGTAGCTACATGTATGGGAATCTCGAATATAATTATCATTTGTGAAGCATTTGTAGTAGCAGGCTAGGAGAATGACTGACATATCTTACATTCTATTAGACAGGAAGATGACTCGTGAGTACTCTTATAAACAAATATGATAATGTCAATTACATGTAGAACTGGCAAGCTTAGCCAATTCATGAATTCTAACCAGATAAGCTCCAAAGAAGCACAAAAAATAAATAAATTGGAACAAGAATTCAACTACACAAGGGCTTGGAGTGGTCCCTGGTATGTAAAAAACATATGTATGATAAGAGGACATGTAAATTGACTGGCAGTGGTCTCTGGTATGCAGAGATTATATTAAGTATAAGAGAACATGTTAAAATACATTAAACTACAGGGAACAGCATTGTTTCATACTTATGATGAAAAAGGTAGAAAAGAATTTTGGGAGACCATGGCAAACAGAATAATATTATAACTCTATCCATTCGGATCATGTAAAATTGGCAACACCACTATTGAAAGGTTGGATAGTAGCTTTATCAACAATCCTTTGTTCACACGTGACTACCTGCTGAACAAGGTAATGTAATATATATTATATTTTGTTGAAATCATATCTCCTAGTATGATGTATAATAGTGATTCTTGGTTGAATAACAGCCATCAATTCTAAGTAACGGATACATAAAAAAAAAAACTGTAAATTTAATCCAATTTATCATTCTTGTAACCCGGGTTCAGAAAGGTCGTGGATATAATTTCTCGGAAAAAAACAAAATATTTGATACTTTTTCACTAAGCACACACTCATTTTTGGAAACGGTAAAATGTTTGACCAAGCGAATAATTTTCTTATTATCATTTTGTTGAAACGGGTTTAAAGTAGCTATTCAATGGATATCGCAGAACCGCATATATATATTGATGTAAAAGTAAGACAACTACATCACGGAGGTTCCTGTACAAGGGAAACCAAACAAAAACTCAAAGCAGGTCAAGATGACTTTGATCAAAAGATGTCAAGTGCAGTGAAATGGAATTTGTATGTCAACGTATTTCCGATATCCATTAATGCTTTTAATTATCTTCGATATACAACGATCTTTCTATTCTTACATGTAATATTCAATCTATTAAAGCATTGTGCGGTTGGAATCGATGAAACTTTTTGAGAAACATTATCCACACCTGTAATTAAGTTTGCAACAATAAGTATGATCAACAAAATGATTATGAAAATGCGATATTTTACTGCTTGCTGAGGGATAAATTGGTAAAGATGCACGAAAAGGAAGTATTTTTTAAAGTTCGACTGACGAGTTAATCTAATTATTACTTTGATACTTTCCACGGGTGAAAAAACAATCAAATTATGTTCATTAAAAGGGATTCGTACTATGTATCAAATAACGGATATATGTTAGCTTTAGAATAGAAGCTGAATATTGGGTCTTAAGAAAATTATTGTTGTACTACTATTTTATAAGTTTTGCGAACACAGCTACATGTATACAGATTCTGACTTGCTAAAACTTGATCAATAAATATTGTAAGTTTAATTCGCCGAACAAAATGCAAAGAACATTGATTGTAGAGATCAGACAAGCTTTTCGGAAAGCATATACTTTTGAAACATGTTGCTTTATTAATATCAGATTTGAAACTGTAATAGAAAACAAACTTAAAGGCACTTCAAACATCAGCAGAACAATTAACTTGGACTGTATTGTGTAAAGAGAATAAAACCACTTATTTTTGTCCAACATCCAGAGGCTAATATCATATTTAATTTCATAACGATAGTAATTTATCATTTTGATTAAGGTTTGAAAAGGGTTAAATAGGGGCATAGAGGAATAAATAGCAAACAAAACATTAGTTCAAACAAGCAATAGGTCCTCCTTCTATTTTATCTAAGGGGACGACCATTTGATATTCTGGGGGGGGGGGGGGGGGAGGGGGGGCAGGAGGATTTTGAAAATAAATAACTCAGCCTTGATAATCACAAAAATAAATGGTTTGTTCTGTGGTAGTTTGAAAATAAATTACCTGACTTGCAATGTATTGAAAATAAATAACTCAGCAGGTCTAATCGAAAGTATGAGATGGCACCAGATTCTTTCTTAAATTCATTTTTTTCTCCAAAAAAAAAAATCGGGAAACACTTCCCATATCTTTTAATAATAAAAGTATAAATATTATTTAAATATACTTGAAATGTCAGAAAATTGGTTTCATTTAACTTGAGGTTAATTGTCTCAGGAACACTTACCTCACTTTTATTAAATCAGGGCCGTGAGTGCCTTGCAAAAAGCAAGTTCTGTTCTCCCTCAGACGTAGCCCCTGATTTTTCGGGATCAATGTTTCTTATTTATTTGTCTTTTGTTTATTGATTGCCCTTCTGTATTCTGTTAGTGTTGCATTCATTTTGTAATTTAGGTAATTTTATTATTAACTTGATCATGAGTTTAAAAAAAACACAGCAGCCACAGACTTAACTATGTGAATTACATTTTTGCTTTATCATGCATATTTGTCTTTAGTTGTTGTCCCTAGAAACTTAAGTCTTACACTGAATCTATAACGTGATATTTTGCTTTGAGACCAAAATATTGTCAAAAAATTATTACAACAGAACTTGCATTTTCAGTTTAAGAAAGGGTCTGGGGAACACCTAGAAGGCATGATTTTGCATCATTTGTTCTATAGCTTCTTGGGCCTTCAGCGGTTCAAAAACCCTTCAAAAACATTTTTGCCTCGCTCCGCTCGGCGAAACATGTTTGCCAATACTTTTAAAAGAGCTTAAGTTACAACCAAACTTTAATACTGTGTATGTATGCAATACATGTATATGCATTGGGGAATATAGAAGATTCATTTCTGCAGAGGATAATAATTAATTCTGATTAAAATGGTACATAATGGCTTGACTATACATGAATTATTTATAAACAAATAATTTAAAAATTGTATGTTTTCGAATATTAAAAATATAGTTGTGAAAATAAATAATCAGTCCCTTGCTTTAATGAAAATGAAAAATTTTGCTTCAATAGTGCAGAAAATAGATAATCTGTCCTCTTAGTTTACAAAAATAAATAACCGATCCAAAACAAATCCTCCTCCCCCCCCAGAATATCAAATGGTCGTCCCCTAACAATACATAAACACAAATAGAAGGAATCGCTAAAACATCCGGCATACTACAATGGACCACAACAACCAACAACACTCGACTCCTAAACAGAACCAACCAGACACACA